ACCCTCCACTACCGCATTCGCCACAGCCGCAACCGCCCCTACCTCATCATCTACTTCTCGCATCTACCCTCTCCTGTCGCCTATGCCCCTGCCGTACCCCACCTATCCTCTTCCGCCTCAACTGCATCTTCTCCTAGTTTACCTGCACCCTTCCCTGCCGTATCCGCCCCTAGCACACCATCGCCCTTCCGCACAGACTCTACCGCACCTTCCCCTACCGTACCCCTCTCTACTGCACCCTCCCCCTGTCGCACACGCCCCTGCTGGGTCCTCCGCTGCCTCTACCGCACGCTACCCTGGCACACCCACCTCTACCGCACACACCGCTGCCGCACCCGTTGCTACCGCCTTCGCCTCTACCACACCTTCCCCTACCGCACTCACCCCCACCTCTACAACAGGCTCTTCGATTGCCCTCTCACAAAACCTAACGCCCCTACCACACCCACCTCTACCGCATATCTAGTCCTGACACATCTGCCTCTACCGCTCATAGAACCGCATGCTAACCTCCCCTCTAAAATATCATCCCCTCACGCACACGCCCTTAGCGCACCCTCCCCTGCCACACCCCCCGCTACCGCACCCGCCGGTGCCTGGGCGAGGGTCTCTCGCGGCGGCCTTTCTCCACGGCTCACCTCCTCCCTCCAACCCCGCCTCGGCCTCCAGCGACGGCCAGTTCGTGCTGCCGCTCTCAACCAGCGCGACCTGCCCGGCCGCCCTGGCTCTCTGCTGTCAGACCCTCTTAGCCCTTGGGCCGGTCCCTCGCTCGCTGTCCTCACTACATCGGGGCTGGTTCGATTTGCTGGCGCTGCCTTTACACTCACAATCCGCACTGATCTGTTCTGTCATGTTCCTTCACGACATGCCTCGCTCTTATTCGAAAGCATCAGATTGACGAGGTTCTATCTGACTTCGAGGAAATTTTACAGGTGAGTATATTGAAAGTTTAGAGGTACTAATGACAAGAAAAATGCTAACAATGTTTTCATTGATTTCTACAAATCTGATTTAAAAGCTGTTTCATCTATTGTAAATTTGGCAATAGAGAGCTGGAACGTGTCAAAACGTCATATTTGCCAAAAATATTAGAACGATGTTATTCTTAGCCTGCAATATCTATGCTGAAATCCTGCACCGGTGTCTTCTTATTTAAGATTTTATTCGGATTATCCCGTTCGTACGTTATCTACATCTTAATACGTACATTCCTCTTCTATCCCGCCTACATCCTCTCTGTGCTTCTCCGTTTCTTTTCCCATGTCGCTTTACCCCACCGCACTCGGTACAGCTCCGCGGTCTCCCAACGTACTGTGCTCTCTCTGCCCTTTCCCCGTCTTCCTCTCCGGGCCTGGGCTGTGCCTCGCCCGAGCCTCCGACCCGGCCCGGCTCGCCCCCGACCCGCCCCCTTCCAACCGCCCATCTCGCTCCACTGGGCTCTCCCACCCCGCGCGCCCGCGGGGGTCTCGGCGAGCGACGTTGCGACGAACTTCCTTCGCCGCTCTAACGACACTTCGGCGGCAGCGGCTGCGGGGGCGGGGGCGGAGAGGGAGGGCTGGTGGGGTGGTGGAGGAGGACGGGGAGTAATGCAGACAGATGGCGCTCGGCCGCCGCCGCCGCCGCCGCTGACGAGCGAGGGAGCGCCCTGGGCGTCCAGAAAGCCTGCGCCGCGCCGCCTCTCACGTGCTGCTGCGGGGTTCAACCACCGTCATCACTCCTCCGCCCCGCACACTCGCGCTCTTTCCCTTGCCGTCATTTTCGCAATCGCTCTCTCATCGACGACTCCCCTTCATGTTCAGTCGCTCATATTTATACGAATATTTTGTTTGGTTTGATTCCCCGTAAAGTTTTCTTTCTTCCTTACTTTCTTTCTTTTCTTCTTTCTTTCTTTCTTTCTTTCTTTCTTTCTTTCTTCCTTCCTTCCTTCCTTTCTTTCTTTATTTCATTCATTCACTCAGTCCATTTAGAACATTCTCATTTATTCACTAGCCCTATGTAATGCCTCCAAACTGCTACAGACAAACATCGCCAAGCCTCTGTTTTCTCCTTTAAGTAAGGTCAGTCTCTCCTACATACAAATTCATTAGTTTTTTAATGTTTTAATTTCTTTGATAGATCTGATAGTTTCTGCCAAACGGAAAAATACCAACATTTTACAGAACCTTATCGAATTTTTATATTCAATATTTTTCAGCATTTCTTTTGGCATTAGAGACATCAAAACTTTCGAATTAAATTGAAGGATTCATAATAATCAAGATACAGGCATGTAGTCGTAAATCGTTTCCTGTCATACCAATCGACAAAATCGATCGAAATTGTTGGATTCCGTAGGCGCTCGCACTAGAACTTAGGGAGAGAGCTTGTTCAAAGCATAGCAAGCATCTAACTTGTCAGTTTTTCGATGCACACCCTCATGCACATCAAGTTGCTTTGAATAAGAACGTGAGGAATAGACGGTTACACGTCAGATATCCGCAGCATCGTGTTATCGATAACCGATGGTATTTTGTTGGGCTAAAAAGTTGGAGTACATCCTACGACGGGTTAATTTTAACGTGAAAAGATAACGTGAATTCAGCAGATATGACTCGGATAAAGAGTTTTTTTTCCATTTATTTTCTTCTTGTTTGGCCATGTGGCCTTTCAAGGGCTTGGATACAATAGATTTTTCATTGTTAGGAAGGTCATCCTTGCAGTTTACGCCTTGACAAGCATGCTCCGTTTTTTTTAAGGGTTGGATTGATTGGAATGATTATTAGTATTATTTAAAAATTACATGTCTTTAATGTTAGGTTGCATGTTGAATTGCTAATATCATGTGCTTACGGGGGGCGAAATTTATCTGTGGAATATTGATTTGGTATGCGGCAGGCGTGGACCACAGGCAGATTTGTCACTCACCTAAGATTGTATAAAGTAGTTGTTAAGTGAGATAGATAGTATGAAGAGTGAAGATAATTAAATATAGCTATGCTTTGAAATTTGAAGAGATGTGATCGTTGAGTAGAATTCCATACGTATAGCCTCCCCGCATCTATCTGCAATTGGTATAAAACCAGGTGCTTGTATGATTTTCCTACGCATTTGTCCTTTGGCTACCGTCTGAAGTTTCTCATTATAGGTGTGCCTGCATTTCCTCATGGACAGCGAAGTCTGTATTGTTCTAGGGTGGTAAAATAGATTATTTAAATACATGAGCTGGCATTTCGATTTTTAATGCAGGCATTTTCTATTTATTATGGAATACAGTTTGACAATCGCGATAAAGAGTGGAATTTTGTATAATATATTAATGCCGGTGCAAAATCTGTAAAATGCAGATAGGTCTGAAGATTTTCTTTACTCTCCAGTGGACATTTGTATTTCGAAAAAATCTTTGTATAATTTGAAATTGCGGAAAAATATATTGACCTTTGTGCTACATCTAATTAATCATATAAGTTATGCGTGAGTAAACGGGAAAATAATAAAAACGAATATATGAGAGACACTTCTGTAAAGAACCATAAAGTACGAGTCGATAGACAAGAGAAAACAAACACTATTCCATAGAACAGATCAATTGCAATCTAGCCTCTACATCATAATTATGCAGTTTAAATACGAGTCTAGAAATTTATTAGACAGAGTAAATACTGAAAGATTATAAAAGTATATAATTTATATAAATTACTTTGGTAACATAATAAATAACGTGTTATGGTTTCCTGCTTATGGAGATTACGCCATTGGAACAATAGAAATTCGGCAAGAAACAAACATACAAGCAAAACATTATATTAACTGTATCCAGGGCATCATCACATCTTAAGATAAAATCTAACACAATCTTATTTAATGCATCTTTAATGTAAAAAAACTGATAGACCAAGGTTTGTATATATGAGTGAAAAGTCGACAATAAAAAAACAATTATCATAATCACAAACATGGCTAGAAGTATAATGCCAAGTGAATAAGAGAGATATTATGACACGAATGTAAGTTGTCGATACATTGTAACCAAAATAACCGCAGGAGTATTTCGATATATCTAAAAAAAAAACGACGCCGACGAGAAAGCACAGAGGAAACAAGAGGAATGAGAAAGCGAACGATAGAAATACATAGAGCAGATACAAATAGTCACTACTGACCACAAATAGAATAAATTAGTACGATCTCGTACACATTATAAACGACTATA